AGAACAGAAAGGTTGTCTAATCACATACACTCTTCCCCAGCATTTTAATTTTTTTTTTAACTGACTAAACTTTCACGCCACTTCTTTTTAAAATGCACTTTACTTTCTGATATTCTTAATGAAAAATAATTGAACTATAAACAATTTCTGTCGTGCCAAGCACAATGGCTCACGCCTGTAATTACCCAGTATTTTGGGAGGCTGAGGTGAGCAGATCACAAGGTCAGGAGTTCGAGACCAGCCCGGCCAACATGGTGAAATCACATCTCTACTAAAAATACAAAAATTAGCCGGGTGTGGTGGCACGTACCTGTAGTCTCAACTACTCCGGCGGCTGAGGCAAAAGAATCGCTTGAACCCGGGAGGTGGAGGTTGCAGTGAGCCGAGATCGCGCCACTGCAATCCAGGCTGGGCAACACACACACACACACACACACACACACACACACACACTTCTGGGGCAAGATAAGCAATTCAGCATGAATTCTCAAAGAGAGGACTAAGAGAAACGGCATTACTCTGTAACTTCTTCTCTCATCCCTATCAATACAACCCTGTTTTAAATTCAAATGTCATGAAAAGTTGGTGCTTCTCATCAAAAAGTTTATCCACCACAATCAAGTTGGTTTCATCCCTGGGATGCAAGGCTGGTTCAACATACGCAAATCAGTAACGGTAATTTATCACATAAACAGAACTAAAGAGAAAAACCACATGATTACCTCAATAGATGCAGAAAACACTTTTGATAAAATTCAACATCTCTTCATGTTAATAACTCAATAAACTAGGTATCAAAGGAATATGCCTCAAAATAGTAAGAGCTGGCCAGGCGTGGTGACTCACGCCTGTAATCCCAGCACTTTGGGAGCCCAAGGTGGACGGATCACCTGAGGTCAGCAGTTCAAGTTTCACCAACATGGTGAAACTCCGTCTCTACTAAAAATACAAAAAATTACCCAGATGTCATGGCGGGTGCCTGTAACCCCAGCTACTTGTGAAGCTGAGGTAGGACAACTGTTTGAACCCGAGAGGCAGAGGTTGCAGTGAGCCAAGATCACGCCATTGCACTCCAGCCTGGGCAACAGGAGCGAAACTCCAACTCAAACAAACAAACAAAAAAAATAGTAAGAGCCATTTATGACAAACCCATAGCCAATATCATACTGAATGGACAAAAGGTGGAAGTATTCCCCTTGAAAACCAGCACAAGACAAGGATGCCTCTCTCACCACTGCTATTTAACACAGTATTAGAAATCCTGGCCAGGGCAATCAAGCAAGAGAAAGAAATAAAGAGTATTCAAATACAAACAGACGAAGTCAAATTGTCTTCATCTGCAAATGACATGATCCTATGTCTAGAAAACCCCATTGTCTCAGCCCAAAAGCTTCTTAAGCTGATAAGCAACTTCAGCAAAATCTCAGGATACAAAATCAATGCGCAAAAATCACAAGCATTCCTATACACCAACAACAGACAAGCAGAGAACCAAACCATGAAAGAGCATCTGCACCACAAAAGAAACTATCATCAGAGCAAACAGAACCTACAGAGTGGTAGAAAATTTTTGCAATCTATCCATCTAACAAAGGTCTAATATCCAGAATCTACAAGGAACTTAAACAAATTTACAAGAAAAAAACAACCCCATCCAAAAGTGGGCAAAGAACATGAACAGATACTTCTCAAAAGAAGACATTTATGTAGCCAACAAACATGGGAAAAAAAAAAAAAACTCAACATCACTGACCATTAGAGGAATGCAAATCAAAACCTGATCATTAGAGAAATGCAAATCAAAACCACAATGAGATACCATTTCATGCCAGTCAGAATGGTGATTATTAAAAAGTCAAAGCTAGGCATGGTGGCTCACGCCTGTAATCCCAGCACTTTGGGAGGCCAAGGCAGGCAGACTACCTGAGGTTGGGAGTTCAAGACCAGCCCGACCAACATGGAGAAACCTCGCCTCTACTAAAAACACAATATTAGCTGAGCGTGGTGATGCATGCCTGTAATCCCAGTTACTCGGGAGGCTGAGGCAGGAGAATTCTGTTTTATGGCACACCTATGTTCATTGCAGCACTATTCACAATAGCAGAGACATGGAATCAACCCAAATGCCTATCAATGATAGACTGAATAAAGAAAATGTGGCACATACATACATACCATGGAATACTATGCAGCCATAAAAAGGAAAGGGATCATGTCCTTTGCAGGGACATGGATGGAGCTGGAAGCCATTATCCTCAGCAAACTAATACAGGAACAGAAAACCAAACACCGCATGTTCTCACTTATAAGTGGGAGCTGAACAATGAGAACACATGGACACAGTAGGAGAACAACACACACTGTGGCCTGTTGCGGGGTAGGGTGGGGGGAGGGAAAGCATTAGCAAAAAGAGTTAATGAATGCTGGGCTTAATACCTAGGTGATGGGTTGACAGGTGCAGCAAACCACTATGGCACACATTTACCTATGTAACAAACCTGCACATCCTGCACATGTACATTGGAACTTAAAAATTTTTTTAAAATAATAATAAGTTGGTGCTTCTCAGAAACTCGGCCTCAGTCAGAATTATATGTGTTCTATGCACCCTAACTTCCAAGGAAGAGACTGTTCTTGGCCAGCTTCAGTTAGATATATATTGTATTGACTTATCCAGTAGATCTTAATTTATAGTCATATTCTCAGATTTCCACAAACTGTACTGTTTCGTGGAAGAGCTGTCTTGGGTTCAGAGTGTATAGAGTGGTCATGAAATAGCAAACCCAGCTACCTTGAATCATTAACTTCGCAGGGTTATATGCTACAGTAAGAAGATGATTATCAAGCCAGACAGCAAATATATCTCAACCTACCACAAACGTAGCATTTTTAACTTGTTAGGTATTTCCTAGAAGCAATATGCCCTATAATTTGGGAAGGTAAGATACAAGCAGCTGTTTCTAGTTCCAATGACATTACCATTCTCACAAATGAAACCATTCATAAAAGTGGACAAAGATGTAGAAAAATGATGACTTATTTTCAATAGGAGACAACAGACCATTCCCAATGGGACATATATTTTCTTTCAAGCAAAGGAAACCTGCTTAATACATTTTGTCATTTTTTGAACAGAAACCTTTTAACCAGAGATACACAGTGGGGTAACATGTTTCAGATGCACTTGCACTTACTACTGAAGAAAAGCCATGAAAAGTAATAATAGTTATTTTTTTTTTAAGTTTTTTCCATGTTAGAGCCTGAGAAATTCTAATTCATGGAGTGTATCAATTATTATAAAGACATTTAATTTTATATTAAGATTTGAAAGGTTTTTTCAATGAACATTAAGCAATTCCACATATTTTCTAACTTTCCACGGGTTCCAAAAAGAGAGGAAGGAACCCAATTTTGAAATGCTGGTTTTAAAAAAGTATAGTATTTTTACATGAAATTGACAGTAATTTCGAACATCTTTACTTTTCTTTGTACCTTTGAAATAATGTATATTGTGTAAAACACTGGGATGCTTTGGTTAGCACAGACTTACAAAAATGTAAGGATGTTCACAGTTACATTTCATACTTAGTATATTCATATTAAATTTTTTTTTTTGAGGCGGAGTCTCGCTTTGTCGCCCAGGCTGGAATGCAGTGGCACAATCTCGGTTCACTGCAAGCTCTGCCTTCCAGGTTCATGCCATTCTCCTGCCTCAGCCTCCTGAGTAGCTGGGACTACAGGTGCCCGCCACCACGCCTGGCTAATTTTTTTTTGTATTTTTAGTAGAGACGGGGTTTCACTGTGTTAGCCAGAATGGTCTCGATCTCCTGACCTCGTGATCCACCCACCTCAGCCTCCCAAAGTGCTGGGGTTACAGGAGTGTGCCACCACGCCCGGCCCACATTAACTAAATTTTTAAAAGATCTTCATATGACCCTAATAGATCAAAAGCTCCTTAAGAGGTAAGACCATGTTGATTTTATGGGTGTATGTTCAGCTCCTAGTATAGTCTCTCAAATATAGAGATGGTTGTTTAATGGTTGTTTAATCCAAGTTTCTATTTATATTTATAGTAAATCACCATTTCCCTACTGCTACTCTCAGCCTCCAAGAAAGCTAGCTCTCTCCGACTAATGGTTCTAGGACAACTGGGGCTGGATAAATCTCTATAAATCAGTAAAGATCCCAGCAACTCAACTGCTTCAAGAGACAAGAGACAGAAGATGTCTATACATTAAGTATTTAGTCAATAGCATTATAAAGCACTCTGAAACAGAAAGAGCAGGATTTTTTTAAAAATTATTTTGAGAGGCCGGGCGCGGTGGCTCAAGCCTGTAATCCCAGCACTTTGGGAGGCCGAGACGGGCGGATCATGAGGTCAGGAGATCGAGACCATCCTGGCTAATACGGTGAAACCCCGTCTCTACTAAAAAATACAAAAAACTAGCCGGGCGAGATGGCGAGCGCCTGTAGTCCCAGCTACTCGGGAGGCTGAGGCAGGAGAATGGCGTGAACCCGGGAGGCGGAGCTTGCAGTGAGCTGAGATCAGGCCACTGCACTCCAGGCTGGGCAACAGAGCGAGACTCCGTCTCAAAAAAAAAAAAAAAAAAAAAAAAAAAAAAAAATTACTTTGAGAGAGAACAGAAGATCAGAGCTGAAATAGGGAGAATTCATTCCTACTTGAATGCATACAATCTATCTGGCTTTTCACAAATGTGATTTAGTTTAACCTAACCAAAATTTGAGTAAAATTACAAATTTTATAAATAAAAAAACCCTGAGGCTCAGAGAAGCAGCCTGACCAAAGTTGTGAATAGAAGATCAAAATTCATAGCCAGATTTGTCTAAATCCAAATCTCATGCCCTTACCAATAAACTACCTCAGAACAAAATTTCATTTAGTTTTTAAGATTCATTTTAAATAACAAAAAATGGACAAATGACACACATTTATAAAAGAAATTAATAGCAACTTTTCATTGTAAAGCAAAAGCACTCACCTGCCCTGCTTTACTAAATCGATGGCCTGCCAGTATCATATGAAATGCATATTTTCTAACCATGGGACTTTTCATGTTTATAAAGCAATGTGCCGCCTGTTCCAAAAGAAGTGCACTTCGAAGATCAGAATCCTAGTGAATGTTTAAAAGAGAAAAAGGTTAGTTTCACCAAGTTAAAAGTAAATAGATAACTAGTGAAAAAACATTTAATATCTTAATATATAGCATATCCAACGTTTAACTTAAGAGTATATGAGGGCAAAGATCAAGGGGCAAACCAATCTTGATTCTTCCAATAAACACAAAATTCTTTTAAGCTTTGAAAACATGTTCTACCATGAAATACTTAGCTTTTCATAAAAGCCAAATGTCTGGTTATGGTATGTGCCATGTAGCAAAATCTGTGAATAACTGCAATCCCTTCTCAAATGGCAAAAAAGTTTGTCAACTACAAATTTATTACAGGTATACCGATAAAAAATAAACCAGAAAACATTTACACCAATCTGATTTCCTCTGAAAATTGACTTGTTAGCATATTTTCATCCACCCAAGAAAACATGTACATAGATTATGAAATATTCTAATCTACTCCTTAATTCTCTGTAAAATTTTACTGTATTTAAAGGAATCCTCAACGTTTGCTATTATTCCAGAGGGCCAAATCGACTGCATTTCATTAAAAAGTTCAGAAGGCTTCAGTTTCAAAGATTTTCTTTTCACCTGCTATTATTACATTAATAAAGAATACAACTCAAGAAAGTTTCCACTTCAACTGACCCTCACAGTACAGAAACTACAAAACCACATACTACATTACGTCACCACCCTTAAGACAAATCTTTCGACTGAAAGAGTCATCATTTTACAGATAACTGAGAAAGTACTGAAGGTTGCTGATTAAATATCAACAACATTTTCACCAAAACTTTCTCCAGGTTTTTAGCTGTTCTCAAGCTGAACTTACCATGCCCTTCCATGTGTTCTGCTGCCATTATTTTCCCCAGGGAAAGTTGAAAACAGAAAACATTGACTTTAAATGCAATAATTTCAACAAATTATAGTTACATCAAAAGTGTTCACAGACCATTGATTATCATAAACTATCTCTGCGTCAATCATAGAATTATACTAGAGCTGAAATAGACTCAAGGAAACCACCTAGAAAGCATTCAGTAAATGGCAGCTATTATCTATTTCAACCTCCTCCTGATAAAAACTAAATGATTAGATGATTGCTCTAGTAATTAAGATCCAAAAGCTAGTAAGTAAAAAAGTCAGGAATACGTAATTAATTAGTGGTTCTTAAAAATGGGTTTGTGTCAGAAATACTTAGGGGAGCTTGGGAGCTTACTTTATTTTTTAGAAAAATGTTTTCTTTTTAAAAAGTATTAATACAAACTAACTTTTTAAAAAAGAATACGTGTTTGAAGAAAAAATGAACATCTTTCTTTCCTAGCCCATGTTTCATGTCATTTGCCAGAGGTAACTATTCTTTACAGCTTAGTAGTGTTGTGTCCTTTGTCACCCCTCCTGTATATGTATGTGCATGTGTTTACATGCCTAAAACATACGGATTTTTTTAAATACACATATATTTTGATACATAAGTGGTATTTATATAGAGTACCTTGCTTTTTTCACTTATGTAATGGACATCTTTCTAAGACATCTACATCTCTCTCATTTCTTTTAAAGTTACACTGTATTCCATTATAAAATGTACCCTAACTTACCAATTGATTATTGTTTCATATTTTGTTACTACATAAAATGCTTTGATAACTATCTTTATAGAAACATATTTGAATAATTATTCAAATATTTTAATAGAGAAATTTCTGGTAGTAGAACTGCTGAGTTAATGAAAGCTATGCATACACTACTTCAAATTCTAATCAATATAGCCAAACTGCTAAAAAAAAAAAAAAAGTAGCACCAATACATACTCTCATCAACAAAGAATAAGGGTATATGTGTTCCACTCTACTCAGCCAAAAATCTTCAAAATTTTTAGCTAATAAAAGAAAAATGACAGCTGGGAGCTCACACCTATAACAGAACTTTGGGAGGTGAAGGTGGGGGATCGTTTGAGCCAAAGAGTTCAAGACCAGCCTGGGCAACAGAAAGAGACCCCCGTCTCTACAAAAATTAGCTGGGCATGATGGTATCTGTGGTCCTAGCTACTTGGGAGGCTGAGGCAGGAGAATCACCTGAGCCTGGGAGACTGCAGCTGCAGTGAGCCATGAATTCACCACTGCACTCCAGGCTTAGTGACAGAAGGACGACCTGTCTCAAAAAAGGGAAAAAAAATATATATATAACACCTTGTTCCTTAACATACACTTTATCGTAGGACTGTTAATCTTTTCATATGTTTAGGGGATTTTGTACTTTTCCTGTGAATTGCCTGTTTATGCTCTTTTGTGAATGGTTTGTTGTGATTTTCTGCTTTGTAAGAGCCCTTTGTATACTCTTAATATTAGTCCTTTGTGATATATTTTGCAAACAGTATTTTCCAGTTTTGACAAGAAAGAGTTTATTCTTTTGCAGGGCAGCACACTATCATTGCCTTTATGGTGTCAAGATACTGTATCAAACTAAGAAAGGATGTTATCATTCCAGGACTTTAAAAAATGCTCTCTTAGTATTTGCTTCTAGGGGTGTGTGTGTGTGTGTGTGTGTGTCTGTGTGTGTGTTACTCTGGTTTCATTTTTTATTATAGCTTAATCAAGCCATAATATATTAAAACACAATGAATAAGCTAAGATTTCAACCCAAACAGCTGCTTAGGTATCACAGTATCATTTTGTGAATAAGTTAGCTTTCTCCACTAATTTTAAATGATACCTTAACCATATGCAGTATTTAAATTCTCATTCTAGCCCATTAATATGTCTATTCTTATCACTGTATAGAGTTTTACTTTCTGTAGCCTTATATTTTAGTATCTATATATTTTAATATCCAAAATAGGTAATTCTCCCTAATTATTGTTTCTATTTCAGAATTTCACTTAGACCTCAACAGAGTTCAGTTTTTTAAGTGCTGTAATTTCTTAAGTCTATTCTTAGCACAACGCACATATGCATGCATACATACAAACACACATGAAAAAATAAAATAAAATAATATATACACACACACTTCTTTATTGCCTATGAAGCTTCACTAAACTGCAAAACCTGAATGGGTAGCAATCCTGGACATTCTAAAAAGCTAAGAATATCCCCTGAGAATACTTAATGGTTTGCAAATGATTCTAATGTACAATCCAGTTAAAAACCAAAACGAGAAACTCTTAGCATTTCCAAATTTAACACTCAAGAACTGACCAACTGAAGGCACATGTGGAAGTCCATGGCCCGTATTAATTTGGCTGAAACAAAATTTTGACTCTTGCATGTAAAGAATCAGTTTCTAGACTGAATGAGAATCAGTTTCTAGAGCTGAATACCATGCTTTCATATCTTAGTCCAGCTTTATTCTTCATTAGACCCTGATTCTTAATGTGACACCCAAAGTGGTAAAAACATTGTTTTGAAAGGAGAAAAATTGTCCTGAAAAGAATGACAACTGCTATCAGTGTTGACGGAAGAGAAATAAAAGGATTTTTACAAAGTGATGGTTTTATCCAGAAAGCAAAGGCTTTAAATGAATTGAAAGATAAAATTTTAATATAGTGGTGTATTTCATACTATCAAATAACAAGTTTTATATATGTTCCGTAAGAAACTAAAAAAAAAAAAAAAATCTGTTGATAGCATTTCATTAAGAACTCCGGCCTATGAAAATTCTGTCCACAACCAAGAGATAATTTTAACAAAAGATAAAAAGACAACAATAACTTAAAATATGGGGGTTATGTACAGAAAAAAAAAAAATTCATCTGAGGTAGAGGCCTCAATAAACACTTCAATAAAAACACAGTTGATAAAGCCACCAGTTGTAGCTAGCTAACTGAATCAAACATCAAACAAAAAAGATGGCTCTAAGCTTTTAAGATTTCATCTCTGCATAACCATGAAGTTAACAGGAAAGAGAGGTGCTTTCAGCTGATAAATTTCCCATAAGACCAGTTACTCCCAAGCTGAAGAAACTTACAAAAACTGATATTAGCATCCCCAGAAACTGATTTTTCATATTTATATATAGTAACAGAAAAAATGGGTTGTAAGACCAGAATAAGTGTTCAATACAGAAACAGATACAAGCAGGTATGTCTTAAGCACCAAATTCATATATATCCTATATGGTGATAAATGTGGCATGTTTTATCATTAAACTGGGTTTGCTCTGCCATTCTGAGAATCCTAGGGCATAAAACAAAAAATAAGATCCACTTGCCCAAAAATTTGCAGTACATAAAGTCAAAGCACAGCTCCTCCTCTTGCCCAGGCCTCATTAACTATCTTTCCCTATGACGGTATTAGCAAAAATCTAGGGAACACAGTTCAGGCATGTCAAGAGTATGTAACTCAGTTCTCCAGCTTCAAAACCAGTGTGCCCCTCTTGATATTATACAGCCTTTCTAGTTAACAAAATACATACAATAAATGTAAATTGTTGGTAAAGATTTAACATAATTTATAAACATTATGCCCAATAATCATTAGTTTCAAGTTACCCCAAAGAAATTTATGACAGGTATTGCAGAAAAGGCCACTGAGGATCACAATTTCTGGGTACATGCACCACCACCTGCCCCCTCTCCCCACCATATGGCAGTAAATAACAATGATACATTTTCTAGACTTTCATGATAAAACAAATCATCCAGATTTGAGAAAGAAAAGTGAAAACAAAGAGTTGGAAAGAAGAGAAAAATGACAAAAAATAACACGGTTATAATGCAGACAGGAGAATTTGCTCTGAAGAAATTTTATTCACATATGTGGATAGAATGGCAATTAAAAGCATTTAAGCAAGGAAGAAAAAAAGGAATTTTATTCAAGCTCCTGAACCATAAATTCTTTTTACATTCACTGATAATCCTTAGGTTGAAAAACACAGCAACACATTCAAATCCAAGTTAAGATTATTTATTATAATAGAGAACATCAGAATACTCAAAAGCCTATATTCAGCTCTACAAATAGTTTGTTACCTGTTCATATTTATTAGTCAGTGGCCATGCAATAACAATTATTAAACATTTTAAATATCACTTCTTAACCTAACTAGTTAGATCTTACAGAAACTTTTGTAGAAGAATTAATGGTTCAGTTCCAACAAACACTTGTAGAGCATCTAATCCACGTGCCAAGGCCAGTGTTAGGCAACAGGAATAAAAACAGAAGGCAACACGGTTCCCTGACCTCAAGAAGCTAACAGCTTAAGAAGCTTAAACATAATTTCCAATATAATATAATATGGTAAGTCAGGTTTTACAGCATTATATGAGAGAGCAGAACAGAGACACTCAGGACAAACGGGTGTACTAGGCAAGACTATCTGAAGTACACAACTGATATCATGACTAGTAAACTAGACAAAGCAAGAGGGAAAAGGCCACAGTCCCAAATAAAAAATATTAAGAATGAGAACTAGTACAGTAGGAGAAGTTTTAAAAAACCAACAAAAGAAAGAGATAAGTAAACTATATGGAGATACAAAAAGAAAATATATTTTTAAAGATTAAAATTATTTTAATTAAATAAATAATGTTTAAGAGCTTGAAAACAAAAATCACTCCCACCCCCACCTCCATTCTACATTGGATTACAGACAGGATAGGAGAATACAGGAATATCTCAAGCCATTTCTGCCTTGAGCAAATAAAGGGCTTGTTAGTGATAACATAACTGAAGATCATGATATATCAGGTAAAAAATTTTATGGGTTTATTTATACGTTAATTTAAGATGCCTTCGAAACACGAAGTAGATAAATCTTTGTTGCTGCTCTCGCTCTGTCGCCCAGGCTGGAGTGCAGTGGCGCGATCTCAGCTCACTGCAACCCCCACCTTGTGTTCAAGTAATTCTCCTGCCTCAGCCTCCTGAGTAGCTGAGATTACAGGTGTGCACCACCACGCCCAGCTAATTTTTGTATTTTTAGTAGATAGGATTACATTATGTTGGCCAGGCTGGTCTCAAACTCCTGACCTCAGGTGATCCTCCCGCTTCAGCCTCCCAGAGTGCTAGGATTACAGGCGTGAGCCATCACGCCTGGCCGCAAGTAGATAAATCTTAAGGACAGTTGGCTATACAAATCTAAAGCTCAAAGAAAGCTCAGGGTTAAAGACAGATTTGAAAGTGGAAAGCACGGCTGTGGACAAGATCATCCCCAAAACGTAAAGAGTTAAAAAGTGCAGTGGTCCAAGGACTAAAATCCTAGGATAATTTAACATTTAAGGAGCAAACAAAGGAGGTGTTTGATTTCGTTCCTTCATTCTTCAGTAGTCATCTAAAAAACATGTTATTAACAATACTTATAAAGGAATTACTACCATTCTTTACAAGCCTGTAGTCAATGCAACTCAATAATGTTTGTTGTAAAATCTTCAACAACTATAAATGAATTACTTTCTTCTCTTTTAAAATATTCACAATATAGGTTTTTTAAATGTTTAAGATGATTTTCTTAAAAAGTTCATGCTAGTTGAAAGTAAAATTAAAAACTCCTTAGTGATTAGTCTTTTAAAATCAGCTTTATTTCCCTAGCAGACTCAGATAACAAAATATGAAAAATAAAAAATAAAATATCATTTTATATTAGGAACAATGTACATGCACATTGTTTTAAATATTCTTATTCAAAGGACAAAAACCTAATAAGTCACAGAGTATGTATGCTCAATACACGTCTGTAGTTAATAATGAAATGTAGCCTTAAAATATGTAAATTTAATTTATAAAAAATTACATTTAAAATTAACTCCACAAAAAACTAAAATAGCCATGTTGTAAATTCCCAAAGAGTGATTTCCCTGGCTAATTTTATGTTTTGTAAACCCTTTCAAGAAAGAAGATACGTCTTTTTAAAAAATGAACAACGCTAATTAAAGGAAATACTACACAGTTTCAGTACCTCACTGGTCAACCGTATTAGGAGAGCTGCAGCCTCTGAATATTTGCTTTGGCTTTTTAAAAGTTCAGCACTAAGCAACACACATCTTTCTGCCAACACCATATTCCTGTAGAAAAAAGGACAAGAAAATAAAATCAGCACAATAATACCTTAGCACATCAAAGTAAATGTGTTCAGCAAAAGATTCCAATTACAATTTTAGAGGACAGTTGCAGGGAATTGGTTCCAGGACTCTCCAGGATACTAAAATCCAAGGTTTATCCAGTTCCTTATATAAAATTGCATAGTATTTGCATATTAACCCATACACATCCTCTTGTGTAATTTAAATAATCTCTACATTACTTATAATACCTACTATAATGTAAATACTATGTAAATCGTTGTCATACTTTATTTTTCATTTGTATTTTTAATTTTTACATTATTATTTATTGTTGGGTTTTCCCAAATATTTTTAATCTGTGGTTGGTCGAATCTGCAGACACACAGGGCTGACTATAAAAAGCAGAAAAGAAGTCTATGTCCTTGTTTGGCACCTACCAAAAAGGCTTTCTTAAAAAATCTTCAAAAACTTTTCATAACTCATCAAAACTTCTCATTATCACGTAATTTGGCAGTAAGAATATAATGCAAAGTCCTATCTCCTGTATGCAAAAAAGCTAGAACTGGTTCCATAACATATTCAACAAAGTCTGCTTTGAACAGAAAAATATAAACATGTCACACGTATTTCTTTCTCTTTCCTTATGCAAATTCTGATTGTGTTTCATTTTGCTGGCTACTTTGAGGAATACTTAGGTATTTTCCCCCTGGTAGTACCATTAAGATGTTTCTGCTAGAGACGGCATAGAGCCAGTGTTGTCTGATTGATTCCTGATCCAATTTTAGTTTTTTTGTAAAAATACAATCAGTTGATTTTGTGTACTACTATATCAGTAATCTAGAATTAGATTATCCATTTTAGAAAAGAATAAAAACAAATGAAAACATTCTTACCATGAAATTACAAGATGGAATCCTATTGCTGGCAAACAGCAGCAAAAATTTTTCTTTTTACTTTCTAATCCTTACGGAATCAAAATATCACTTGGCTTTAAAATTATTAATATAACTAAAGTTTGCTAACTTGAACTTACTTTGGAAGTCCATTCTAAACAATGAATAGTATTTATTTTAGAAACACAATTTACTCCTTTCAAAAATTCAAAAATTATTATACTGACTTGTCATAAACTTTCTACAAATCATACCTTTCTTCCTTGGAGGTTAGGTATTTATGAATACCTAAGATTGTTTTGATGAACACAAAAGACTAACTCCTATATACTATCAACTACTGATTTAACAGGTTCAGTTCTTAAAGATTTTTCTTCAGTAAATTTTATAAATTCCCTTAAATCTTAACACTTATGTTTGATTCCTAAACGATTTATCCCATATAGTCAATTACTTCAGTTTCTTCACCTGTAAAATAAGGATAATAATAACATGCACGATTTCAGAGGTTTGTTGTTAAGACTAAATGTGCATATAAATTTCTTCGGCATGATGGCAAATGCTGAACACTCAAAAAATGTTTATTATTATCTTATTAATGATGCTGTTCTGTTCTAACCATGTTACCATTACGATGACTACTTTTACTTCAACATTATAGGGATCAAAACTGCCTCTATATCTGTCTTCCAATGCATCTATTCTGAAACAACAGAAAAGTCAGATTAATTTTTCCAAAAAGTAACTTCTATTATGTTAAGTGCCTACTCAAATATTTGGTAATTTTCCATTTACTACTACGTAAGTCTTCACTGCAGCTTAATAAAAATAATACATGAGTGTGGTGCGGTGGCTCACGCCTGTAATCCCAGCACTTTGGGAGGCCAAGGCGGGCAGATCATGAGGTCAGGAATTCGACATCAGCCTGGCCGAAAAAATAGTGAAACACCGTCTCTACTAAAAATACAAAAAATTAGCTGGGCATGGTGGCAGATGCCTATAATTCCAGCTACTTGGGAGGCTGAGTCAGGAGAATCACTTGAACCCAGGAGGTGGTGGTAGCAATGAGCTGAGATCACACCATTGCACTCCAGCTGCGCGACAGTGCGAGACTCTGTCTCAAAAAAATAAATAAGTAAATAAAAAATAAAAAACATGGGCTAGGCATGGCGGCTCATGCCTGTAATCTTAGCACTTTGGGAGGCTGAGGTGGGTGGATCTCTTGAGGTCAAGCGTTCGAGACCAGCCTGGCAAACATGGTGAAACCCTGTCTCTACTGTAGCCAGGCATGGTGGCGCACTCCTGTAAACCCAGCTACACCAAAGGCTGAGGCAGGAAAATCACTCGAACCCAGGAGGCAGAGGTTACAGTGAGCCAAGATCGCAGCCACTGCACTCCAGCCTGGGCGACAGAGCAAGACTCTGTCTCAAAAAAATAAATAAATAAACAAAAATAAAAATAATACACGACAGTAAAGGTTCCTTACACATATTTATCTCAAATCTGCTTTCCAAATTTATCATGCAGTACTTTCCCTATACAGAAACCTTCCAACCTAGCCAGGGCTTTCTTCTCTTTAGCCAATAATGCACATCTAAAACATTATGCCTGCCAATCACAATTCCTGATACATCTTCACAGTTATCAAGTCCTAACCACTTTTCTTTCAAGGTCTACCCATCAAATATCCCATGAAATCTCCCCTGACCACTGGGCACCAGTTCATAGTCTCCTTATAGGTGGTGAGTTCTCACTCTTACAGGGTTCAACAGAAAGCACTATGAATACAATATTGTTTAACTTTTTTTTTTTTTGCCTATTTAACAAAGAAAATGCAAAATGACTAATTCCTAACTTGACAGCAGTTTAAAGTTAGAAATATCCCCACAATACAAATTACCTTCAATGTAACATATAATCTCTACATAACACATTCCTACCTGCCAATCCAAACAAAATAGAAAAGAAAAAGGTATAATAAAACATTAATTTTTTAAAAATTACCTCAACTTGTCTCTATTAACTTGATTTGGGAGTTTAGGAATGGGGGGAAAAAAAAAAAAAGAACAAACTGATCTCTAACTGGATACAATATAAATCTTATATAGTCACCTACTTGCAGATATCCCTGTATGTCTGAATTGCTGTATCCATGTAATGAGCAGGATATGGCCTAGGTGCTCCTGGTTGAAGAAAAGCAGACACTGCTGCCATTTCCTAAAATAAAAGATATAGTTTACATATTTCAAAAGAAGAAACAGTCTTACAGTTTAGATAGGAAACTAAAAGTTGGCATGAAATTTGCTTTTTTTTTTTTTTTTTTTAACTGGATACACACGTATAAACTTTACAGCCTAACGCAGATTTGAAAAACACATTTACAGCCCAGTCACTCATCGGAGAAGATGGGTGATCTGACTCTGGAAAGACTGAAGTCAGAGAGATCAAAAGAGTACCTAGAATTCAAATAAGTAATGAGTAAGAGTCCTATAGAAACCTCCACGTAGTAATGTCTTAGCTCTTGTGAGCAAGACTGCAGTACCTTCAGTTAAGGCCTCTAAAACATATCCTTAAAGACTACGGGCTCCTTAGCCACCTGGTCTCAGAGAAATCATGACAGTAACAGGCATTTCCTTATTGTATTTATATTACTCTCTTCCTACACTTTCCAACTCCTGAACACCCTCTAATGACCACTGTCTGGGGATGTGTTTTTCCTGAAAGAACATGAGGAATACAGAGACCAAAAGGGAGATGCTTCCATTACAGGCAAAGTTAGATTGGATAAGATTTAGCAGTTAAACTGCAGGAATATAAAGAATGAATTCTGGTGTTCAGACAATTACAAAAGGCTCAGGCAAATATAAGGGCACCACTGGCTACATGCGGAGCAAAGACTGCTTCCTAAGATTGTTTAGACCCCAGGGAGGTCTTTACTTTTGCCTAGACTCAGATTTGCCATGGAAATTCCAAAGAGAGCAGACATTTGGATTTGTCCTCCTTTGGGTGTCTACCTGAATGTTGTGTGTAGCAGTGTGAGTGAGTGTATGTATACACAATGTGCTTATGAGTGAATGCTATGTCAGGCCTAGTGGTTAGGTGTGTTGTCTATCACTTTTCTTTATTTTGTCCAGATTTTTTAATCTTCTGTTTTCTAGAGCTACTTATGTTTCCCCTGTTTATCATTGTAGTATTTGACAGTTATCTCTTCCCATCAAAAATATGCTAAACTGGCCAGGTGCAGTGACGCACGCCTATGATCCCAGCACTTTGGGAGGCTGAGGCGGATGGATCACTTGACGTCAGGAGTTCGAGACCAGCCTGGCCAACATGGTGAAACACTGTCTCTAATAAAAATACAAAAATTCCTGAACACCCTCAATAGCCAGGAGTGGTGGCAGGCACCTGTAATCCCAGCTACTCGGGAGGCTGAGGCAGGAGAATCGCTTGAACCTGGGAAGCAGAGGTTGTATTGAGCCGAGATAGTGCCACTGCACACTGGCCTGGGTGACAGAGTAAGATTTGGTCTCAAAAAACAAACAACAACAAAAAAAAATATGCTGACCCTACGCTGGTCAGAGCAAGAGGTTATTTCTGTTAAGCAGCATCTTACCCGCAGTGTTTTCCCAGATAGCTGCCTAACAGCTTTAAGTGGGAGGTTGAATAGTCAGTTTATCTAAATCATCTATTTTTCCAAACTAGCTTGAAAGGTCTTTTCATTTATTTTTACTCCATGGGCCTCTGATATGCTGAGATATAACACAGTTATGGTTGTGGTATCATCTGTTATAGACACAAAAGGGAAAAAAGGTTGGCCAGGCCCAACATAACCAGCATGTTAGGTTGCCACTGGAGATGGGGGAGTCAGTCTCCACTTTGCAGTTGGGACTGTGCTCCTCTAACCTGTTTGCTGGGTTTTCTGTTTGAAAATAGCCCCATTCCTCTCCAGTGTCCTGCTTTTTGATTGTGTGTGTGTGTGTGTTTTCCCTGTGACACTGGAAGTGGAAACAATTTTCCACCCAGAGAGAAGCTTTGACCCAAAATGCTCCAAGAATGAATTTCCAAATATTTGCTAGTGGAAAAGGAGCAGAGGCTATGACAAGAGTGATTTAGTGTTGTACTTTCAAAAGAATTATCTACTATAGTAATATAAGTAATACATTTATATAAGCTTTCAATCTTAAAATTCTCTAGTCAATATCCGAAGTCTTCCATTCAATATTTAAATGAGATTTTCAAAAAAAAACTATGGTGTATATATACTATCAAATTAGCCTAGTTTAAGATTTCTACTAACACCCTCCTCCCTGTTCTTCCCTAACCTTCAATAAGTAGAGAACAGACCAATGATGGATCACAAAGAGAAAAAATAAAGTACATCTCTTTCCAATTTATTGGTAACAATATAAAATCAGAGCTCACAACGGCTTGCCTTATCAATATATTCTGCCAATTACAAACTCTAGTTTATATCCACTATCATATAGATGGTGCAAAGACCATTTTTCTTAAACCTATTATTACTGTCAATTTCCTAGGTCATATTTCATTTTAAAACTTCATTCTGGATGGGTTCAGTGGCTCACACATGTAATCCCAGCACTTTGGCAGGCTGAGGCAGGAGGATTGCTTCAGCCCAGGAATTCAAGACCAGCCTGGGCAACATACTGAGATCTAGATCAAAAAAACAAACAAACAAAAAAAAAACCTCATTCTATTGGCAATGCCTAGGACTTTAGTTAATAATTCAAATAATATACAATGGTGGTCAAAGGATTTAGAAATGAAGATTTAGCACGGTGCCACATGCTTGTAACCCCAGCACGTTGGAAGGCCAAGGCAGGGAGAATGCTTGAGCTCAGGAGTTCAAAACAATCCTGGGCAACATGGCAAAATGCCATCTCTACAAAAAATATAAAAATTAGCCAGACATGGTGGTGCACGCCTGTAGTCCCAGCTACTGTGAGGGGCTGAGGTGGGAGGATCAGTTGAACCCAGGAGGTCGAGGCTACATAAGCTGTGATCACACCACTGTACTCCAGCCTGGGCAACAGAGCAAGACCTTGCCTCCAAAAAAAAAAAATCACCTAAGTTTTAATGAAAATGGCTCACGCCTGTAATCCCAACACTTTGAGAGAGACTGAGGCAGGCAGATCACCTGAAGTCTGGAGTTCGAGACCAGCCTGACCAACATGGAGAAATCCTGTCTCTACTAAAAATACAAAATTAGCCAGGTGTGGTGGTGCATGCCTGTAATGTCCGCTACTCGGGAGGCTGAGACAGGAGAATAGCAGGACGGGAAAGCCATAATTCACTTTTAAGACAGACAAATGTACTTCTCTGCCACATTTTTTAAAATAGAAGAAAAAACAAATAATGATTTGGGAACTGAAATATGATTAAAGCCTTTAACCTGATAGTTCCCTGAATGACAATATGAACCATATCTATTTCAGAATGCCTCTGCATCCTCAGCACTCAGCAGTATCTGCTCTAAAATTCATTGAAGGAGCTAAATAAAAATACATAATATCCATGTGACAAAATATCGTACAGCTCTAAAACATGTTTTCTTGGCCGGGTCCAGTGGATCACGCCTGTAATCCTAGCACTTTGGGAGGCCGAGGCAGGCAGATCCCTTGAGGTCAGGAGTTCGAGATCAGTCTGGCGAACTTGGTGAAACCCCATCTCTACTACAAATACAAAAATTAGCTGGGTGTGGTGGCACATGCTTGTAATCCCAGCCACTTGGGAGGCTGAGGCAGGAGGCTCGCTTGAACACAGGAGGTGGAGGATGCAGAGAGCTGAGATCAGGCCACCGCACTCCAGACTGGTCAAGAGTGAGACTCCGTCTCAAAAAAAAAAAAGTCTTCAAGAATTCCTATTACTGGTTTTGCTGTGATATTTATTTTGCCTTTGTAGTTACAATGACTAAATATCTTCTACAATTTTCATCTAAAAAGGCATACGATCTAGTCTATTCTACTACAACACATTTTGATCTTATCAATTAGTTAACATGTGAATGGCAAGGGAAGTGGTATCAGTTCAAATTAAATTTTTATTTATTCATACATAATTTTTCTTAGGCAAGGGAATCAAAAATAGCAGTATTATAAACTTACATCCTTCAGAACGAAAGGAAAAAGCCCTGAGCTCAGCTGCTGCACAGAAAGGCTCTCTTTCAAGCTGCTAAAAACGAATGCCTACACTTTGGTGCGTATGGACTCTGTCTCCAGAGAAGCACACTACCAGCCTTTCACAGCTCTGGGCTCAGGGCAGGCTGTACTTTCTTCTATGATCGGCTTCATGGCAGCTCCCAAGAAGAGCATGAACTCTTCTTGCTCACCCCCATCCCTATAAAAAATTTATTTTTTATATTCCCTGAGGTATCCTCAGCCATGCTAAGCTGCCTATCTAGATTATTTAGGTAATCTTCCAAGGTACCGTTTAAAGTTTTTGTTTGTGCTCTGGTTACAAAGATGAATAGGTTTCAAGAAGAGTATCCCAACTTTTCTCAGAAGCCTATTATTTTTAGGGTAACTTTTAAAGGCTACAATGATTTTCAGGTGCACAAATATGTAAGAGCAAATATGCCTTTATTTTCCAGTGCTATATTATTTTCTCTCAAACAGCTACTAATACTTCCAGTTGAATGGCTTAAATGTAGTTTTCATCAAACATTCTACTTGCAGATACATTAAATAAAATTTTGTCATTACAAATGCACACCTAGGTTATAAGGTATTAATAATAACATGAAGTATTTGTGATTTCCTATGATGACTATAATGAGCAATCAGAATATTTAGCCAAGGAAGATTCACTTGTGTTTTCAAACGCTTCTCAAGAACATAGCATATTTTCCATTTCTATCAAAGGTTTTTAAAAACTGGGTTGGCCAGGCACGGTACATTGCCTGAGGTCAGGAATTCGAGACCAGCCTGGGCAACACAGCGAAACCCCGTCTATACTAAAAACACACACACAAAAAAATAATTAGCCGGGCATGGTGGGGTGTGCCTATAATCCCAGCTCCTCAGGAGACTTAAGCACAAGAATCGCTTGAATCCTGGAGGTGGAGGTTGCAGTGAGCCAAAATTCTGTCTCCAGAAAAAAAAAAAAAAAAAGTGGGCTGACTTTTTTCATTAAAAAAATTAAAGAACCAGAAAGCAACAGTAATATAATTTTGCTATTCTGGCTTCCATTTTTAAGTTACTAATTTTATATATGCACAGTATTAAAATAAATGCAAAACAAATGCCAGTTAATTAAATAAGTATCTGTCAACTTGTGAATATTTTCTAGTTAAAAAAAAGTATCTACACAATTACCAATGAATTATTCTTACACATTTCTTTCTTCACTTTTGTTTATAAGCTTACATGTTTTTTAAAAGATTAAATAGAAACTAACAGTGCTAATTTTACTCTTTTCTGAACACATAAAGCAGATAACACATATATTTGTGGTAACTTTTCAAAAACATTAAAAGGTTTTAGGCAACAAGTATAGAAAATTCTTCTGAAATACCTGGCTTTGTAATCAATTACAAACCTAACACCACCAATACTTATTGACAGGTTATTACATATAAGGCATTATGCTAAGTGCATGCCTTAGACTTTATCTGATCCTATACCGTTAGGATTCACATATTTTACAGGTGAGAAAACTGTGGCTTAGAGATATTCAATAACTTGCCTAAGATGAGAGAGTGTCTCACACCTAAAGTACATGTTCTTGACTAATAATGAAGTCATACATCAAACAACTTAAAAATGTCATGGTTTAAAAAAACTTCTAAAAAAATTTTTGTATTTTGAATATATTAGAAAATGAAATTCAATTCTGAAAGCTGATGAAAAAGTTAGAAAGTACTAATTAAGAAAGAAACCCTGATATATGACCATCTTTTAATTACCTAGTTTTTTGGGTTTTGTTTTTAAGAAATAAGTTTTTTCAATTTATTTTTAAAGATGCAATCTTACTATGTTGCTCAGGCTGGTCTCAAACTCTTGGGCTCAAGCAATTCTACTGCCTCAGCCTCCCAAGTAGCTGGGACTACAGGAAAGTGCCACCATACCCAGCTAATGAACTAGTCTGAGGGAAATCCATCAATTCAGCATTAAGGAATTCACAATCTATAAAGCACTATGTGTTCTTGGAGTACAACTTTATCCCTAAGGATTCTGTTTGCCACCAAGAGAAATTTCTAAAGCATTTATGGTAGCAGAATTAAGGAATTATAAGACCACAGAATACCAACCAAGGCACCAGCTGCATAAAGCATTGCTTGATCATTAAGAAAATCTTTCTTTGCAGTATGATAGCAACTGTAAGCCAAATCATAATGCTGCACCAAAAAACATAAGTCAGCCATTTTCCTGATTTGAAGTTCTGGTGCTTCTGGGGGATACCTGTAAATACAAAAGAAAATAATGCATAATTTATTACCCCCTAAACCACTATAAAATATACTAACAAGCTGCCATGTTCTTCTAGAATATGAGAAAAACTAATGCTATTTTAAAGAAATTCTACCTCCAACAAGAGTGTCAGTTCTCAAAAATATCTGGAAACAGAAAGTTCCTTGTTTTATTATTTATAGCCCTGAGAATGTCTCAAAGGCAGGCAAACATCTTCTCCATGGTCGAATAATGAAGTAAATGGTTAATTCCAAGTAACTCACATTTATATACAACCAGGAGAAAGATTAAAATCCAAAATGTATTAATTATATTTTTCCCTTAAAATGGTTTTTTGTGTAAAGCAAAATTTATTAAATGTGTCCCTTGTCTTAGAATCATCAAGTCATTACATTTTAGATATAGAACAGTTACTAATGATAACTAGTCTAACTTCATTGTTTTACAAATAATGAAACAGACCAAAAGTAAAGTGACCTTCCCATTTGTTTTTAGATGTCCAAGTACTTAGTTTTGAAAAAATTAATATGATTTACTTAAGAGTCACTCTTCTTATCTACCTGAATTTTCACCAATAAGAAACTAAGAAATCAAAGAGATAGTTATCTTCTGCAGGATATCATACAATACAATCAAATACTAGTCAGAGGTAAACAGAGGAAAAACAAAAACAACACTTTACTCACAGCAAGCCAGATGTATTTTTCAGCTCATTAATGCTCTTTTCTGGAACTTTACTGCCACTAAACCATTTTTTAGTTGCAGAAAATAGAGATCGACTCAAACCTTTTCTTGATATTAGCTTTAAAAAAGAGATTAAATATGTTGACAAATATAATTTAGTATTTTTTTTTTACATAAAAAAAATTTTAACTAAAAAGCTTCAATAGCAAATGTTCATTTTAACAAAACTGATTTAAAGAAAACTGTCTAATATGCTGGCAAAATCCTAGTGAAAATGAATCAGCCTCTTCCACAGTTGAACAGAATTTCACCACAATGAAGTAATTTTGAGAAGTCTTAATATTGGCCTATCTTAAAATGAAAACAAAACTTCAAATACATTTATTAATTCTTAAATTTACTATTTACTTAAATTTTAAAAATACTAATCCAAAAAATGAAACCTTACCTGATCGTTTAATTGCCTAATTGTTTTCTCTATATGTGGCAAAAGGCCCCGAAAGGTGAACTCTTGTATAAACTGTCGAATTCTATCATGATCAGTAAGTGTTAAACATGCACCATGAATTATTCCAATATTTCCTTTCTTTGTTTCATGTAACGATGAAGCAGATCTTACATGATCTGGGCCATCAATACTGTTAGAAGGGTCACTGGATTGGTCCAACTGAAGTGGGTGAGCTCTAAAGTTATTTGGCAAGCCATCTACTGAAAAAGAGATACATCTTTTACTCTCAGAATGCAACAGAAAATAGTGATAATACTATCATACTGCTAAAGAAGAAGAAGAAAAAAAGCAGAATGTTAAAATCCTTTCTTTCTGTATACATAAATGTGTAAGATAAAACAGCAGTAACATCCTGCAGCCCCAAAATTAAAGAGCTTGAGTTAATATTTGTTTTGGTACCTGTACTAGAAATTCGAAAATTCGTATACAGCAGGAAATGAAGAAAAATACTTTATTTTAAATATTATAAAGAATGACTTTTAAATGGCACAACTAAGCCATAAGAAAAATATAACAAAAAAAAAATTTTAGTTATCATTATGAAAACCATAATTTAAAATCAGAAATAAAGCTCTCAAAATCATGTAAATTTTTTAAAAATTAATGCTGTACGTCACATCTTCCCTTGCTTCAAAATGTTTTAAAAGAAATCTATACACTATTCATATAAAATAAATTTTTAAGTGTCAAAAACAATCAAAACTCAAGTGGCTCAGTAAAATCTTCAGAAGAAAAACTAACCTGCCCAATATCCTTCTCTATTATGAAAATCTCCCCCATCTTTTATCTATAAAGGTTAGCATGATCTGACAACAGTGCATATTTTCAATCAAAAGAGAAACTTAGAGAAAATATATTAAGACCTTTGACTTCGTTATCTAATCCATCCAATGAAAGCAAGTTATTATCAGAATTCTTATTTGAAGTCATAGTACAAGGGCCATCTTCATATGATTCCTATCAAAATAAAATTTAAAAAGCATTAGCAGTTATACTTAATCATATTTAATATACTATCAAATCCATCAACAACTATGGTTACTCTGCTGTTGGCCTCATTTATTTGCTACAGTGAGCACTTTCTCCAAATTCATAACTTCTTCCACAGATCTTATTCTATCACTCCAACTCACACCTAGTATATTCTTAAATCCCCTTGCACATTCAAGCTACTATCCTAATTCTTCTTAATTCAAATTATCTCTCAGGATATCTACTTATATATGATATGTATACACACGAGTGTCATACAAGCACATACATATGCTTATGCATCTTAAGTAAGGAATAATGGCAAGAGAGATGGACTACTAGAGTCAGACAGGGAAAGAAGAGAGGCACAGGTATGAAATTTTTTGGGTCACAGTTTAAGCAGGTTGGAGTGAATTCTGAATATATTGAAGTGTTTTAGAAAAATATCTAATGCAATGTTTATTTGTGCAAAGAAACTGGTTTCTCAGTTAACAAAAAAACACTTAAACTAAAAATACCCAGACAACTCTACAAGACCAGTAAATATGATATATTATTCTGAGTGTCACGCTTTGAGGGAATTTACATAAACTGGAACTTAAGAAGAAAGTGACTAGGACAAGAAAGTCTGAAGCCACTCCTTGAGAAAGAGTTGCAGAAACTAGGCATATTTAGACTGGAAAAATACAAAAGACATGAGAATTATCCTTCTATATTTTGAAAGTTGTCTTAACAGAAAACTGACATAGTCACCCCCAAAGGATCAAGTGTACAAGCAAAGGTCAAGAATTTATGGTTGATCCTCAAGCAAAATAAGAGAATTTTTGGGTGATCAGACATGCAATAGGTCACTTAATAAGAATACAGTGAGTACTGTCAACAGATGCAGTCATTCGCAAGTTTAAAAAAAATTAAAGCATTAGATCAAGCATTGGATGTAAAACCTCCAAACTATTCTCCAACTTTGAGCCTCTAGGATTCTAAGGCATAGATTTCTGACATTTCTGCCTTCTGTGAAAAGTTCTCATGCTGGACAATCTTCTTTATGTTCCCCTTCACAACCTTAGGTGAATGAACTCTAAAGTGAATTTTTTTCAGTACTGTTCTTATTCTTAGAATGGCCCTAAAAGACCATTTTTAAAAATAAAGTTCCTTCACATCCAACCGGTACTTCTTTGCTCAGAGACTTTTCCCCAGCATTATCTTAAAGAACGTCAGTAATCAATTCTAAAGTCAGTAAAATACCAGAATAGCACTGCATCTAGATTTAAAGATTCCATTTATGAGACAGAAAAATAAGGCAAATAGACAGATTAAACAATAATTATCTTAGAAGATTGAAAATTACATAAGCTTTATAATTGATTTTTAAATGTCACACACAGAGTGCATAATACAGTTTAATTGAACAATATAAATATATTTTCCATTTACTTAAGAATTTCTGGGCCAGGCGCTGTGGCTCACGCCTGTAATAGCAACACTTTGGGAGGCTGAGGCATGCAGATCACTTGAGGTCAGGAGTTCAAGACCAGCCTAGTCAACAGGGTGAAACCCCGTCCCCACTAAAAATGAATCGCTTTAACCCAGGAGGTAGAGGGTGCAGTGAGTCGAGATCTCGCCACTGCATTCAGCCTGGGCGACAGAGTGAGACTCCATCTCAAAAAAAAAATTCTGGCCAGGTATGGTGGCTCATACCTGTAGCCACAGCACTTCGGGAGGCCAAGGCAAGGGATCACTTGAGGTCAGGAGTTCGAGACTAGTCTGGACAACATGGTGAATCCTACCTCTACTAAAAATACAAAAATTAGCCAGGCGTGGTGGCGGGTGCCTATAATCCCAGCTACTCGGGAAGCTGAGGCATGAGAATCATTCGAATCCCGGAGGCAGAGGTTGCAGTGAGCCGAGATTGTGCCACTGTACTCTGGCCTGGGCAACAGAGAAAGACGCTGTCTCAAAAAAAAAAAAAGAATTTCTTCTAGGCTGGCATGGTGGCTCACATCTGTAATCCCAGCACTTTGGGAGGCCAAGGCCTGGGAGACAGAGTGAGACCCTGTCTCAAAAAAAAAAAAAAAAAAAAAAAAATTTTTCTAAACAAAAAACAGGAACAGTGACTCTTGATCATCTGAACTAAGCATATGAACTTGGCATCTGACCACTACCAAGTGGCATTGTACCTTAGAAGTCTGACAAAACATCAAATCAACTTAAGTCAACAGGACAATCAATCTTATTCCAGAACTCGAGGTTAAGAAAGGAGTAATTAAGAAATAGTAACTCCTGAGAGTACAGAAAGAAGGGAAATCAAGGGAAAGTTGGAGGGAAATGCCCATCTACCTAAAAAGTATGAGTTCCCGAAGGTGGCTATAAAAGCATGTTGAAAAGGTAGGAAGGAGGCTGGGCAGGATGGTTCATGCCTATAATCCTAGCAATTTTGGAGGCCAAGGCAGGCAGATCACCTGAAGGTCAAAGAGTTCGAGACCACCCTGGACTGAATATGGGTGAAACCTCTCTCTGTACTAAAAATACAAAAATTAGAATGGGCCGTAGTGGTGTGACCTGAAAGTGCCACCTACTTGGAGGCTGAACAGAGAGAACTGTCTTAACCTGGGAGGTAGAGGAGTTGCAGTGAGCCAAGGATCGGAATTGCACCAACAGCCTGGGCAACAGAAACGAGATCTATCATCCCAAAAAAAAAAAAAAAAAAAAAAGGTGGTGGTGTGGATGCCCTATAATCCATTTACTCCAGAGGCTGAGACAGGAGAATCGCTTGAACCCAGGAGGTGTGAGGTTGCAGTGAGCTGAGATCACGCCACTGCACTCCAGCCTTAGTGACAGAGTGAGACTCTGTTTCAAAAAAAAAGAAAAAGAAAATGTAGGGAGCAACCCCAGAGCATGTAGATAATAAAGAATTGACTGTAGGCATTCATAATGAATTAAACGGACAAGTCAAAAATTCTATTCTGCATGTCTAGCCTATCTAATTCAATTCTTAATGTGTAATTCACTTTTCATCTTTTAAGAAAGAGATCAGGCCAGGCGCGGTGGCTCACACCAGTAATCCTAACACTTTGGGAAGTTAAGGCGGGCAGATCACTTGAGTTCAGAAGTTCGAGACCAGCCTGGCCAATATAGTGAAACCTCACCTCTACTAAAAATACAAAAATTTGCCTGGAATGGTGGCATGTGCCTGTAAATCTCATCTACTTGGGAGGCTGAGGCAGGGGAATCACTTAAACCTGCAATATAGTGAAACCTCACCTCTACTAAAAATACAAAATTTGGCTGGAATGGTGGCATGTGCCTGTAAATCTCATCTACTTGGGAGGCTGAGGCAGGGGAATCACTTAAACCTGAGAGGTAGAGGTTGCAGTGAGCTGAGATCACACCACTGCACTCTAGCCTGGGCGACTGAACAAGACACTGTCTCAAAAAAAAAAAAAAAAAGATCAATTCACACTGATATTACACACCTGAAAAGAGTGCACATAAGGGATTACTATAGTTTGTTAAAAACAGTTTTAAACCACTGATCTAAGAGCTCACCTCTGACAGATCAAAACTGACCAGATTCCACATAATTAATAATTATACTAGTTAAACCAAAATGTAAAAACTGAAGTATAGTTTTTGTGGTTTGCTTCATTTTATTTTATTTTTTACATATACCTGGTTTTGAATACTATTTTTCTGGAGATACTGACTCCAAGGATCTGGTATCTGTTCATCTGATGCTCGATTAGACGTTCGAGAATTAATTTTAAGTAAATAGCAACCCTGAGTTCCATATTTCTGTTTCATTTCTTCATAAATTGATTCAGCTCTAAAACAGAAAATGGAAAAAAATCTGAAGTAAAAGAGGAGTAGGCCTTAGGCAATAACAGATACTAAAGTAGTACAAAAATAACATTAAAATAATCCCCAAAAAAGGCAGAACAGAAAATTAGGACAGAATAACCTAAAAGTTAAAACAAAAATCACGATCGCAATTGAAATTTAGCTAGCTTAGATACCACCTTAAAGCAGTTACCAAAGTGTGTTCCATGGAATAAAATTCTGCAAGATAAACTCCTCTATGTTATTCAAAGAGAGAGCTCTGGTGGTCAAACTAGATTGAGCGGGAACTACAGCAAACAAAACAAGTGTTTTGACCTGGCGTGGTGGCTGGCTCACGCCCATAATCCCAGCACTTTGGAAGGCCAAAGTGGGAAGATCACTTCAAGTCAGGAGTTAGAGACCATCCTAGGCAACACAGGGAAAGCCCATCTCTACCAAAAATAAAATTAACCAGGAATGGTGGCACACACCTGTGGTCCCAGCTGCCCAAGAGGCTGAGGTAGGAAGACTGCTTGAGCCCAGGCACTGCACTCTAGCCTAGGCAACAAAGTGAGACTCCCATTTCAAAAAAAAAAAGGAGGAAAAACAAGAAAAAAAAAAAAAAAAAAAAAACCTGGAAAACTTTAAAGCACATTCAAATGCAAATACTAATACTATGTAAGCAACAAGCCTAGCACTAAAAAATTATGGCTGGATAAGTAAAATAGTCATAGAAAATTTGTATAAATACAGATGTGTGTGTGTGTACACACACTCAAGGACAATAAAGCAAACTCCTGCTTACATTACTAATGATACTGCTAAATCTAAGAACCATTCATCTGATACTTGAATTATCTCAAATATCCTAGTTACAACCGTTCAATATGGAAGACACACTCCAAATTCAACTGACATAAACTAATTCTAATAGTCATTTCAAATTTTTTCTATTAATATAGTAGTACACCTTATCCAACATGTTACAGACATTTCAAAATATCCTAAAGATTAGAAATCTTCAGAGTAATTATTTGGCTCTACAGAGGAAAATTTAATAAAAAGATGGTGGTCCATGCTCAGAACAAGGGCAGGTAATAATTATTACACTACATTTCCTCAGTGGCACTAAGGCATCAGAATAGTTTCAGACAAAACATTAATCTGCTCCACACCTTGAACCAAAAGCCAAAATAAGCTCCAAAGCCATACAAGTAAAATTACTGTGTTTACCTTATTTTTCAAGAATTTATTTTATTTTTAAAGACAATCTATTCACATATCCCGAATACAAAAGGACTACTGCAAACAACAAATAATGAATATTAAAGGAAACATTTAAAAATATTTGAATATTTCTAAGACTATGAAAAATATCAAGGCTGTAAATATGAAGTCACAAGAAAGTGGACTGTGAAAAAGTGCCTATAAGCAAGTCAGGAAGTGAAAAGTGGAAAACTGGGAAGCAGAAAAGAACAAAGAAAGATAAATAATTTTATATAAAACCAGAAATAACAGCTAAGATCTACAGTTGTGAAATGACAAGTGTTTCTGTACAGACTGTAAGAATTATACATTAAAAAGAAAGTGTGGGTAAGCATACGAAATCTAACATAAGGCCAGGTGCGGTGGCTCATCCCTGTAATCCTTCCACTTTGGGAGGCCAAGGCGGGCAGATCACCTGAAGTCAGGAGTTCCAGAGCAGCCTGGCCTACATGGTGAAACAACATCTCTACTAAAAATTCAAAAATTAGCCAGCCATGGTGGCATGTGCCTGTAATCCCAGCTACCCGGGAGGCTGAGGCAGGAGAATTGCTGGAACTCAGGAAGCACAGAGGCTGCAGTGAGTCAAGATCGTGCCACCGTACTCCAGCCCAGGTGACAGAGTGAAACCCTATCAAAAAAAAAAGGTAGGGGGGGCCAGGCGCAGTGGCTCACGCCTGTAATCCCAGCACTTTGGGAGGCTGAGGTGGGCGGATCACCTGAGGTCAAGAGTTCAAGACTAGCCTGGACAACATAGTGAAACCCCATCTGTACTGAAAATACAAAAATTAGCTCGGCGTGGTGGCGGGCGCCTGTAATTCCAGCTACTCAGGAGGCTGAGGCAGGAGAATTGCTTGAACCCGGGAGGCGGAGGTTGCAGTGAGCCGAGATCATGCCACTACACTCCAGCCTGGGTGATAGGGCAAGACTCAAAAAAAAAAAAAAAAAAAAACCCTGCCTGTTGAATATAATGCCAGGATAAAACAAAGTTAAATGCTTTATTAATAAAATTCACATTAAACTTTTACATTCTTGTATCAAAAATAAATCCAAAACGTAAACAAGCTATCTCCAAATTAATGTAAAATCATTTAACTGGAAAAAATTTTTAATTAAAAAAAAAACTTACCTTTGTTCATTTCCTGCACTTACATCATGTAAAAGTACATAATATTTAAGTGTATTTGGTATGAACCACTTGGGGTAGGAATAATCACTGTTGTGCTGAATTCGATGCTGTTCTTGTGACAACTTTGAAAACTGTTCCACAGGTTCAGCTTCACTAGATGACGCTACCAACATACCTTGTAAACCATATTATTAAGGTAATTATCGCTTATTACTCAATGATAAATATTGTCCTATAGAGACAAACTTTAAGGAGTTTGTTTTTTTTTTTGGAGACAAAGTCTCGCTCTGTAGCCCAGGCTGCAGTGCTAGTGGCACGATCTCGACTCACCACAACCTCCGCCTCCCAGGTTCAAGCGATTCTCCTGCCTCAGCATCCAGAGTAGCTGGGATTACAGGTGCGAGCCACTGCACCCAGCTAATTTTTTGTATTTTTAGTAAAGACAGGGTTTCACCATGTTGGCCAGGCTGGTCTTGAACTCCTGACCTAAGGTAATCAGCCCACCTCGGCCTCCCAAAGTGCTCAGATTATAGGCATGAGCCACCGCTCCCAGCGATATTTTCTCAGGTAATCCAATTTCATAGGTTTTCACTGCAAGCACAAAATAATTTCTCCAACCCTCCAAATAATTCAATACTCCAGATAATTCTAACAGATGTTTTTGTTGACAGTTTTTTAGGCCTTTATATACATAATAAGGAAACTCATAAAAATAAAAATGGACAACTGTACGGCTTCAGCAGAATGAATTCTGCTGCATCTTGCTTCTCTCCATTCTATCTCACTGCAGTTACAAATTTCATCCTACCTCTTAACTTTTGTCAATAACCGCATTAAGAAAACTAAGCCACAATCATCAAAAAAGAATACCCATTAAAAAATTACTAAAAATATCCAAAATTATTTTTCATGAGTCTTAGGATAAGCAGTCAGTTCTGAAGCAATCAGTGAAAGCAGTTAACATTGTTTACATTTTCTTTCTCAAATAGCTAAAAAACTTATTAAGCATGAAATATTCAAGCTAGGGGGCTAAAGAAAAATAAGCAAGCCCTCTGTAGTCTTATTTTACAACCAAAAACTAAATTGGTTAAAAAATTGTTACAGCAGTCCTATATCTAGGAGGCCATTTAACAAAATAACAAAGACTCCATGCATTGTCAATCAATAAAAAATAATTTATTCTCTATATCTTCAACAATTTTCCCTTCATTAACTATTTCTGAGATTAATAATTTCCAAAACATTTGATTTTAGGAGAACATAAATGTCAAAGGATACATGCTAAATAGTGGTTCAGAAATTCATGATCCGATGCTGGCATCGACTGAAGAAAGGTTTCTCTGTAAGACTCAAACCATGGAGTAGTGGCTAAAATTAACAATATACAAAACAGTTAAAATTCCTCAATAGAATCAGTTTACAACAGACAAAATTTCAAGTCCATATTCCTAAAAGGTGTAAAAAAATAATTTCTAACAGTAAACAAGCATTTTTCACCTGTGCTTTCAGATGTACATGTGTGTACATATAAACTGTGTATAGGGCCTGGCACGGTGGCTCACGCCTGTAATCCCAGCACTTCGGGAGGCCAAGGTGGGTGGATCACCTGAGGTCAGGAGTTCGAGACCAGCCTGGTCAACATGGCAAAACCTTGTGTCTCTACTAAAAATACAAAAATTAGCTGGGCGTGGTGGCACGTGACTGTAATCCCAGGTACTCAGGAGGCTGAGGCAGTAAAATTGTTTGAACCCGGGAGGTGGGGGTTGCAGTGAGTCGAAATCACACCACTGCACTCCAGCCTGGGTGAGAGAACAAGACTCCATCTCAAAATACTACTACTACTACTACTACTAATAAACTGAGTATATATGTACACATACCTTTTAAGCCATTCACAAGAATATACTCACACGAGAGTATATTCATATATGCATGAGAGTATATATATCTATTTGCAAAAATAAAATTGAATTATTCCCAAACCTAGTGTTCCCACAACCTACTTACCTATTAATGCTCTAAATATTACCTACATGAGTAAAGAGATTATTTCTTTAGAACTCAAGTTCTGTGACTCTGCCACTAATCACACTGCCATAAGTAGATCCTTTTCAGAAATAACACTTAGCATAGAGGTTCTCAACTGAGCATGATTTTGACCCCTAGGAAACATCTGGCAACTTCTCAAGATATTTTTCGTTATCGGTTCTGGGGTAGGTGGGTTATGCTACTGGCATCAAAGAGGTCAGGTATAATGCAAAACATCTCACAAGACAAGACAGTCCCCACAATAAAGAAGTATCTAGCTCAAAATGTAAATGGTGGTATGGTTGATAAATCTTACTTTGTAATTTGATTACTTGAATATGACACTAACAAAGCCTCTGAATGAAATTTCAAAGTACACTTACCTTATAATCAAATACAAGAAGTGTATTTTCACTGTTTGTATAAACGTATATAATGTGATTCTTAAAAAGTCAACTCTCTTGTTCCACATCAAGTATTTTGTATCACAACTATTCTTTTTATTTGAACTTATGTAAAACTTAGTGGTTTCATTAGGTTTTAAGCAGATTATCTATATCACAGTTTTACTAAAAGGACTCCATTCCTATGCTGATTTATGCTGATTATCAAACCTTATATTCCTTTTGCTTTCATCTTAACCACTGAAAACAGCAAATATATTCTTTCTGCTTACATTACAATACTATATTAAACAAATGGAAGGGCTGAAGAAAAAGTCATTCATCTCAACCAAATAGCATTCTAACCTGGTTCCAAATACACAGAAATTTTAACCCCAGCCAATGCCTCATGAGAATGACCCATATATTACATATAGTCTGATTAGGAGAGCAACTACTATCACGATTTCATGTTCATTGTTATAAAAGAGGAAATAGGCAGGGCATGATGCTTCACACCGGTAATCCTAACACTTTGGAGGTTGGGTACGGTGGCTCATGCGTGTAGTCCCAGCACTTTGGGAGGTCAAGGCAGGCGGATCACTTGAGGTCAAGAGTTTGAGACCAGCCTGGCCAACATGGTGAAACCAACATGTTAGAGAGAAACTCTGTCTCAAAAAAAAAAAAATTAGCTGGGCGTGGTGGTGCACATCTTCAGTCCCAGCATTTTCTTGAGGTATAAATAAATTATGGCCCATCCATTAAAAAAGATACATTAGCAGCTGTAAAAGAACGGGGAGAAATCTCTACATATTACAACGAAGTGCTCTTCCAGATATATTAAGTGAAAAAAGCGACAGCAGAAAAGTATGCATTTTTGTGCAAGAAAAGGAAAATATGAACAGCCATACCTATATTTGCTTATAGTTTCAAAGAGAAGTAATAGAATAAATCTACTACATTTAATTATCTATACAAGAGAGAAAAGAAAGAAGAGAGATAAGAAAGGAGAGGGATCTACCAAGTCCTGTAGAATAAAGAGATCTTTAGGCCAGGCACGGTGGCTCACGCCTGCAATCTCAACACTTTGGGAGGCTGAGGCAGGCGGATTACCTGAGGTGGGGAGTTTGAGACCAGCCTGACCAACATGGAGAAACCCTGTTTCTACTAAAAATACAAAATAATCTGAGTGGGTGGGGTGATGCATGCCTGTAATCCCAGCTACTCGGGAGGCTGAGGCAAGAGAGTCGCTTGAACTCGGGAGATGGAGGCTGCAGTGAGCGGAGATCGCACCACTGCATTACTCTAGCCTGGATGACAGAGCGAGACTCCGTTTCAAAAAAAAAAAAAAAAAAAAAGGCTTCTTGGCCTGGCCCTGCTGGCAGAGGGGAGTGGGCAGCTCTGGCCCAGGCCTGAAGGATAACAGGCTGCAGTGAGTCCGTGTCTGCCCACCGCACTGGGCGAGGGAGACCAAATCAAAAAAAAAAAAAAAAAAAAAACGTATCTTTGAGATTTGATTCAGTCAGAAAAGTCTCTAATCCACATTGTCAGCCTTGGAGCCTTCTGCAATGTATAATGTAGCTTTCTCATTTCACCTTCTGGAAACGGGAATGTGATTAAATATTTCATTCATTACTCTTTGATTTTCTTGTATCTGGGTTCTACTCTCAGGATGAAATTATCCAATTACATATATATTTAGAGGAAGAAATGAAGGGGAAATTCAAATGTTTATGGTGCTTTCTTATTGCCTGAAAATTGAATAAAATCAAATTTATCAATTGTTCCCCCTAATTACGCAAAAGATCTTTTGAAAACTATATTACATGAGTGCTTCTGCCTCTTTAAGACAAAAGAAGAATGAAACCCCAAACTGTCATTTATTTCTTAAAGTTCATCATAAAAGTAGTAAAAGAGTTAACTGTAATTAGATTTTTATTGCGTTTTAAATAGGTCTACGTGTTTGAGGGAAAAAAAAAGAAGGGACATGAACAGAGGACAAGCCTCCTCTCTATCTTGCTTTATATAGTTTTGACTTTGAAACTATGTGAATGTACACATAATGAAAAATAAATTAAAAAGCAAAATACATACACATACACACATACACAGACATACTCTTAAACTGAAACAATAACTTTCTAAATACTAGTAGTAACTGGTAGCTTCTGGCTGGGTGTAGTGGCTCACACCTGTAATCCCAGCACTTTGGGAGGCTGAGGCGGAGGGATCACTGGAGCCCAGGAGTCAGAGACCAGCCTGGGAAACATAGTAAACCCCGTCTCTACAAAAAGTACAGAAATTACTCGGGAGTGGGACATGAGGCTGTAGTGCTGGCTACTTGAGAGGCTAAGGTGGGAAGATCGCTTGAACCCAGGAGGTCAAAACTGCAGTGAGTCGAGATGGCGCCACTACACTCCAGCTTGGGCGACAGAGCGAGACCTTGGCTCAAAACGAACAAAGAAGAAAAAATGTTCTTGCACTTATCTTGGGATAAAAATCACTATTTTCCTAATACCCCTTTCCATCTCTACATGTTCTTTGTCCGGAATTGAAATAGCAACCATATTTTCCTACTAAAGTTTTCTGGCCATGTTCAGTGGCTCACGCCTATAATCCCAGTACTTTGGGAGGCCGAGGCAGGCAGATCACTTGAGCCCAGGAGTTCGAGACCAGCCTGGGCAACATGAGAAAACCTCCATCTCTACAAAAAATGCAAAATTAACCGGGCATGGTCGCCCACACCTGTAGTCCCTGCTACTCGGGAGGCTGAGG